TATAAAAATAAGTCAACGTAGATCCTCCTTAAAAATAATAATATAATTTCTAGATATAGGGTGCGTTTGGCAGAAAAAAGCGCTAGCAAGCGCTTATAAGCGCTGAAATAGTTTTCGGCCAGGACACGATTGCTACTTCAGTAGCGCTGACACAATCCGCCATTTTGCTTATTTAATTTGTTTGTTTTGAAGTAGACTTTATAAGTTGTTTTGTGCAATATTAATTTTAAGTAATATAATGACACGAATAAATATTATATATGTTATTAAAAATTCATGATTGGTAAGTTTTTAATATAAATACTTTACAAAAATATATTTAAATTAGGTTAGGTCCCCCGGTTAAAACTAACATCGTGTCCTGGAGGAAAATAGCTACTTACGATTTGACAGCGCTTACCGTTTACGATCGCCATTTTGTTTACAAGCGCTTGCTAGCGCTTTTTTCTGCCAAACGCACCCATTAGCTTCTGGTGTCGATGCTAAGATTAAACTATTTATCAATCTATTTTCTGTGATTTTGGTGTTGTCAGTCTATACGGCTCATACACCTTCACCTGACTCGTGGCTGATTAAAAATGGAAACGCAATGGAGAGGATGAGGATGATGGTGATCACGGTTTATGATTCGATATTGTGGCCAATCATCGTGTAGCCTATGTGGTGGTTGGTTCTTGAGCTATCTAACCGCTGTCCGTGAAGTGGAATGCGGACCGCCCCCCCCCCTCCCCGCTGAGTGCTCAGCTCGTGATAGTCGATGCTAAGACAAAGTCTATCGTAAAACTAACGCCTCGCAGTAGATTTTTGGTTTATTTATGATGGTGTTTATAAAATTTAATTATTGTATCACTTTTTTATTTCAAAGTAACAACTAGAATATCGTCTAAATAGTTATCAGCAAGACTATCCGGCCAGCCTGGGCTGTCCATTGTCTTAGATAAGTCTATTTATAATATTGGCACTACACATCGCAGTACCTTATAGGTATCGCTATATTTGGCGTAGAGTACTCCTAAATATTACATACTACCCACACATAAAATGTAGAAGGAATATTTCTTTTGAATAATTAATTGGGGAAATATTGATCGAAATCTGTCAATATTTTTCAATTGGTGGAAATATGTAGTTTTTATTTGTGTTAATTTAATCAGGTAAATGGTGATTGCCTTTTTTTGGAAAAATAAAACCAACATGCTAAGACCAAACGCAATGTGGGATAAGTAAGTACCTTCTTGTGCGAATTTTCATGTATTATAAATGTTTGGTTGTAATTCAAGCTTGTATTCCTCTGAATAATATATGAGAACGTCAGTGCCACAAAGTATGATTTAAATCCAAACGATGTCAAATTTCAAATTGTTTAAGATACCATACATTGCGCTTTGCGGATTTATAATATGAATTTTGATTGTGTATGCATATGAACTCGGTAACAAAATTTTGGCGGTGTATTGCTGACTTGCAAGGAAAAATGATTTGTACGGTATTTACTTTACTATGTAGTGGGAATCGCCTTTTGCTTAGGAGTCCGTCAGGGTCACCTTTCACTTTGGTAAACTAAACTTGGTAGCGATGTATTTAATGTTGCATTCCGGTTTGAAGTGGACGGAATGCGAGTATTCTTTTTTTATAGAAAAGGGGGTAAAAGGGCACGCGGCTCACATGATGGTACTATGGGAATTGTAGGTGCGTTGCCGACCTCCTCGAAAGAGGTAAGCTCTTTTCTTAAACGTCCCTGCCCTAAGTAGTATCGGTCTGGAAAATTGGCGGTGGAAAACGGTTCAACAAATAGGTTGTGTGAGGAAGAAAACTCCTAGTAAAACGCATAGTGGTGGAACCCAAAGGAACCAGATGGTGTGGATGGTATTGTGAGTTTTGTCGCGATGTGCATTCGTGAAACTTGGCTCCTGGAATTCATCCGAACCGTTCCTCAGAGCACTCTTCGTAGTATATGCGATAGAAAATTTAAGGGGATTCAATATACCTTCGCCGCGTCGGTACTTCGCAAGTCATTGACGATTAAAGCTACTCTGCATGGGATGCGGTCAAGCGGAAAGAGCTAGCACTAGGGTGCCGAGGCCCAGAGATGTGAACAGTATTTCATGTGAGGCCGAACTTACGCCTTGTAAAGTTGCAAGCGGTTTACCGGCATGAAATACAGTCCCGCTTTGCTGAGCACGCTAAGTTGTTAAGAGATCTATTTACCTTTCTATAATTAGCTTTAGTATAAGTAAAGTATGCTGTAAGGCATTTTTACTATCAAAGGTGACAAAGTTACCGTCGGTACAAATTTAAGGATTAGTTGTCAACGGGCAGTGTTTTGTAGCCATTCACCTTCAGGTGGACAGTTAACTCGTTTGTTAGATTAATGTTTGTCTGTCAATGTATGTTATTTTTTTATAGAAGAGAGGAGGAGGAAACGAGCATACAGCTCACCTGATGGTAAGTGATTACCGCCGCCCATGAGCAACTGCAACACCGAAGAATTACAGGTGCTTTGATTAAAACTACTTTTACGGATTTTATCGCGTTTATTTTACCAAGGATGATACGTGAGGCTATTGAAATTTAAAAACATCCTAATTTCAATAGAGAAGGAGGCTGAGTACTACCACCTGCTTGGGATCCTATAATCAATAAAATTAAAACTAAACCCAAGCATACCTCTGCAAGACCTCAGGACATAGTCAGTTCATTTTGCATAGATCGGACCATAAACAATAATTAAAAAAGCTGAAGGCACTCCGGGTTTAACAATGACATCGGGACGTCAGTCATCTCAGTCCCCCGCCCATGACCATGGGTGCTGGAAAGCGCCCAAAACGTCGGGAATTAAAAATAAAAGTAATTAAAAGTAAAATGAACGGGATAAAATCCGTAAAAGTAGTTTTAATCAATGTGTAGTGTTCGCGTAAATATAAGAAATCATTATACAGGTGCTTTGTCCGCCATTTACATAATAAGGAGTAAGTTTTTGAAGGAAGGAGCATTTGACGGTTAACTCACCCAGAGTTAACCGTCAAATGGTTTTGTTCACCGATGATCAATTGTTGATTTGCGTCGTCAGCGGCCGAGTAGCAAATGATGGCAACATTAATTAAAAGGTCATTAAAAGAAAGGCGAATGAAAGTGATCGCAAGTAAGACGGAAGTTATAATTTTTGAAAAAGAAGAAAGTAAAACGACATGTGAAATAAGAATAGAAGTCGAGCAAGTACATGAGTTTGTATATTTGAGATGTGTATTCAGCAGGGATGGGAGATATGATAAGTGTATAGAATGACGAGTGAACTCAGAAAATAGAGTAAATGGGGCTTACTCTGACGTGGAAGGTCAGAATGTGTCGAAAGGCACGTATGACAATTCACAATGCTGTGTTAGTCCCTAATTTAATGTATAGTAGTGTAAGTTGGACATGGCAGAAGAAGCACGAGAGTAGAATAAATGCTGCAGAAATGCGGTCATTAAGAAGTATGTTAGGGCTGAATATGTATGACAGGGTGAGAAATTGTGTGATAAGAGAAGAGTGTGGTTTGTAAGATGATGTTATTTATGACCAGGATTAAGAAAGTACCATGAAGAAAACTCCTAGTAAAATGTTAAGTGGTGGACCGCCGAGCATCCAGAGTATGTGGATGATATTTTGAGTTTTGTCGCGATGTGCGTTCATAAAATTTAGTGGCTGAAATTAATCCGAACAATTCCTCATATCAATTCCTCATATCAATTAGACGCGATAGAAAATGTAAAGGAATGCAACATCTCTTCGCAATGCCAGTGAATTGAGCAGATCGAATAGGACTCAGTCATCGATGATTCGATGCTACTCTGCGCTGGATCTAGTTGAATGAAAGGAGTTGGCAATGGGGAGCCCTTGCCCAAAGATGGGAACAGTTTATTAGGTTATTCTGTCATACATTCTCATTACCAATCCGTAGTCAGGAAGTTGGGGTTCACGTCGGATTATCGTCCTATCGGACTATGAGAATGAGAGCATAGTAAGTACACCTGTGCTTGCGTGCAAACTCGTGTATTATTTTCCTGTCTTACTCAGATGGATTTTCTACGTTGCGCCCGGCCGCCGTGACCGAAATTCGTTCTGGAGGCTATTTTTTAATAAATTACTGGCAATGCTGTTAAAATAACCAAATTACCTTCAATCACCAGGTACTGAGTACGTGAGTGGTTTACGACGGTACGACTAGAATAGCGGATTCGAACACACGACCATTGAGTTCGCGGTCTGCACCCTACCGTTAGGCTACTATCGCGCAATTGATTATAACTATTACCTATTTGTATTCAAATTTTCGATTACATAACCGTTGGATAAGAGTGTAAGATGTCATCAGATGTACTTAACCGTTAAATTATTTATTTTTTAATCAAAAGTATGCCTTTTTAGAAACCTGTAACATTTAGTTTTAATAAATGTCTGGTTTTTATGAAATTTTAGAAATCTTCATGATAAGCTTTGTAAAGAGTAATCGTTAAGACCAATGAAATCTCTGACAAACGATCACACGGTCGACCTGCTCGTAAGTGGATGCTGTGGTCCATAGACAATTACATTTATCCTCGATTGAGAATCAATATTCAGATGCATTGTTACCCCTGAGAACTAAGATGGAATGCCTCGCTTTCAGTAAAGGGTCTCCGGTTCTCTACACTCATCACACGAAACACAGCAACGTTAGGCTTATTTTTTTCGCGGATATTCTGTGAGAGCATGGTCCTACCCTGGTTGAGCCGATCTATTCGTGCTACAACCATAATACAAGAGCGGCGTGGTTCTACGACGTGATAAATCTGGTTCCGTGAGTCACAACAGTTTACTATAACACAAAAAAGGGATGATAATTGATCTGGTAATTGAAAAAGATGCGGCATATCCTCTTTATAGTATAATGCTATGTCAGGGAGTGGAATCTGCGGGCTTCCATAGAAAAAGAAGAATATTATTTTATATCACTAAATTTAATTTTTTTTAACTTTCAGTCGACTTTAGCGCAATGGAGGGTAGCGTTCTGGGTTTGCTTCGCTGTTTTAGTGGGAACCAATGTAGTTTACTGCATCTGGGCAGACGGGAAGCAACAATGGTGGGATGATGTGCGACAATACGGCTACCCACCTGATTGGAAACATGGCAGCTTGCAGTCTTCAAGTGAGGACAAAGAGAAAAATAAAAAAGCAGAATCTTCTCTATAGTTCGTTTTAAAATTTTCGACGTGTTAAATTATTATTTTAATTTAATTAATAATGAAAATGTTAGAGCCAGGGCTTCAACAAGTATCTAATGCCAGACTCAATGGTAAGGAAGTTAGAAAATAATATGTTACCTAGACTTTATTTATTATAATATACATTTTTTAAAATATATAAGTATACCGAAAGACTATTTAACTTCATAATGTTACCTGTTGTAACGAATTTTATTAGTACCTGTGAAAAAAAAGATTATAGAGAATAAAATAGATTTTATTAGAATAATAACCTTAAGAACAAGTACTTATTAAACAAATCAAAATATTATGTATGTATTTTGTTTATATTATTAAATTCTTGATAAGTATGTAAAAATATATATAACATATTAAATAACATTAAATAAACCTAATAAGCTATGGATTGCCTGTCGTGAATACAAAAAGCAATTTACAAAATTACAGTATTATCTTGTTAATAAAATACATCTAGTTACAATAACTAATAGTAAGTTATTCATGTTTCCATTATGTTCATCATATTTTGGCTTGGATAATTAATTAACTTTTATTTATGAAGTAAGGAATTAAAACAACTTTATTGTGATATAGAATTTTATTATAATAGTTATGAATTAAAAGAAATATACATAATAATAATAATAATATAGACCATTTTTACATAGAAATAAGATTGCTCTTATATTGCAAACGGATAAATTTGTCTTGTTGCGCCTACTTGTATAAAATAGCAATATCCATAATAACTAATGGACTGCTAACATCTTTTACTACAGGGTTAAAGTCAAGAAATAAAGGTCATGTTTTCGGCTGTTTATGTGTATTGTACTATGTAATTACCCCAAGATATGTATCTATATATTTGTTTCTTTGTTACTTGACGGATTTTCAGTTTCATTGTAGTCAAGTATTTTATTATTTAATTGTAACGTAATTAACATTTTACAGATTACCATTCATATAAATAAAACTATTGTAAAAATTTGACGTACTTACCTAGTATATAGGTAATACCCAGTGTGGAAACGTGCAACCATATTAAAATATTATTCGATATCTTGTAATACTTTTTCATTTTCCAATAGGTACCTACTACTACAAGTATCGTTGTGTGACATAATCCATCACTCGATTTCGACTCGTGGCTGTAATAGGAGGTGACTATGGGATATGAGAGACACCGGACAAACCTAATGGTAGAAATAATACATGTTGTATTTTAAACTAGATGGAACAACGCAGAACGGCAAAGGACGTAATGTAAAGGATTATGTCTGCCCAGTGCAGCGTCACAAATTTCGGAGATCTTTCCCGCGGTTGGAAAGGCAAGTTTTCAGCACTAGAGAGGAATGGGGAATACAAATCGTTAACTCATAGAGTCGGATGTCAAGCTATCTATTTACTAGATACCGTTGCACTTAAAGCGTTTTTGTATCGCCATGATTTAATCGCAATTCACAGAACATCTATCATAGAACTTGAAGGAATAATAACGAATAATATGTGATATATACAATTCTAATTTTGAACGAATAAATGCGAAAAATGCGAGGTAATATATCTCAAAAAGTGATCAATGATATAAAAACAGAAAATAGATAATAAAAACTGTTATTGGCAACCCACCTGCTAAGCTAGGCAACCATATTTAATACCTCCTATGAAGCTATCTATTGAAGAGGCCTATAAATGTAAGTGTGATAAGTAAATAAAAAATAAAAATCGGTTTTTTTTAATATAATTGGATAATAATCGAGCACTCAGTCCACGTGTATGGTGTGGCCCATAGACATAACAAAGAAAGAAACAAATGCGTTTAATCCAGTTTAAGTATACAATACAACAAGTAAAAAGTAATTAAATGAAAAAAGATAAACAAAATGTAAATTAAATACAAAATTATAAATTTAACAATACAATTTGAAAAACCGTATGCTGCATATGATATGACATCTACAATCATTCTCGATTAACAATCAAAATGCAGATGCGTTCACTCCTGAGGACTAAGATGGAATGCCTCTTTCCCAGTAAAAAGGGTATCTGGTTCTCTATACTCACCATACGTAAAACAGCGGAATTAAGCTGTTATCTTGTAATGTTACGCTGGTATTCTATGGAGCGTGGTTCTAACTCGGTCGAGCCAACCCATTCGTGATTTAACCGTAATACTGCTGCAGCGTGGCTCTACTACGTATAATTTTAGTAAAAGTAATTATGTATGAGGGCTCATTTACGAGACTGTCTGTAGGTTCAAAATCCATACAAAAACGAGATAAGAAACAGCATTACCATTTCGAGGGTATCGGCCGTGTGATCACCAACCCGCAAATCAATCGCATTGAACATGGGGATATTGTTCCTAGTAACGCTTGCAGCTAGTGCACTTTTGTACATAAGTTCCAGTGGACTTAAAAAAATTGGCAGTATGTGTGATAATCTCAGCTCAGTTACAAGACAAACTTATCACTAGCACTCAATTTTAATTAGTGTTAAAAATAAAACCATTGCTGATAAAATAAGTAATACTTAAACTAAAAATTAAGATCATAATTCACCGCACTGCGTTCCGAGGGCGTTGCAAAAGATAACTACTAAGGAATTTAATAAACTTTTTTTTTTTTTTTTTTTTTTTTTTTTAACAAACAAAAGGTAGCAGGATTCTTATATATTTGTAATCTTATAAAGGTATATAAGGTGAAAACGAGTTGAACGTGAATTTAATAATAATATTATTAAAAAAAGTTTATTATAACCATTGTAAAGGTATGGAATATTCTTTTGATAAAAACCAAAATTTGTTAAATTACATTGAAAATATACTCAATTATAGTATCTATAACAAAATATGAAAAGGAATTAAATTCGGTATTAGCAGACAGGGTTTTGTTACATGAAACAAGTACATGGAAACATTTTATACGCCCATTGAATTCGTATAATAGTGTAACTATTTTAATAGCCTGATGCTGTAGCCAAGATTATCTCCATTCAATTAAAATATTTTATTAGTTTCGAGATTTCATTAGTATATGACACCAGTATATTTGTATTATTTCAAGCCGACATTTATATTATTTCACGCCAGTATATTGCGAGAAAGTGATCTTTCCCCGGTCTAGGCGACGCATTCGTGTTACAACCGTATTATACCTACAGATTGGCTCATCACCCATAAAAATTGTAAGTAACCGTCCTATAAATTAAATAATCGACAGAAGAAAAGTGTTGTGCGTTTGAGTGGGCCCCTGGGTGGAAAGCTTTGGCGCTGTTGTTGAGGTCCAGAAATTCAGAAATCACCCGTGTGAAGCCGGGGCGGATAGGTTGTGTATATGATATAGTATATATATCAAATATATTAATATATATATTAATAGTTTGTAATTACTTTCTCGGTTACGGCGAGTAACGATTTGGATGTTTTGTATTTTGATCAGCCCCGGATCTAGGGGGGGGGGCAAACCGGGGCACCGGCCCCGGGCGGCAGTTTCAGGTGGCGCCAAAATTATATTATAATTCGAATTTAAGAAATAGCTTGCTCCACAAGACGTGTAGTATCCAACGCACGTTGCTCTATCAATTTTTCACTTGATGTTAAAACGCCCAGTTGGTTTTTGAACACATCTTAAGGGTTCATTTCGAAATGTGTTGCCAGCAGCAGCGCAGTAAATTTTCAGCAACATTTAACGGCGGAAATTTTTATTTAAATGATTACGATCGTACTTTCAAATACCACCTAGACCCCGTAAAAAAGGACATGTATCCTGTTTATCGAATACAAAATGAAATTATCGGTAATATATTAAACAAAGTTCAAAATACCATTACCAATGTCATCAAGGAAGCCAACTATTTCACCATCATGTTTGACTGCACTCCAGATGTCATCTCACACTTCACACTCAATATTGAAATCTGGACGTTAAACAAAGGAAAGTTTTATTGATTTTTTTGAAGTTCATGGAAAGACTGGAGAATAAATTACACAGCGAATTCTAGAGAGACTAGAAGCTGACGTTTAGTGCATGTCGTAGATAATCTTACGATAATGGATCTAGGAGTACAATCTAGAGTTTCGCAAATAAACGAGCTGGTAAAATTTGTACCATGTCTAGCATACTATTAAATCCAGTTAGCCTATTTGGGCTCGTACATAAACTTTATTATTTCTTTGTTGGATCCACCACATGGTAGAAAAAATGCAAAAGTGTACATAAACAAACTTAAAAGGAAGTAATCAAACCTGAGGGTTGGCTAAAGACCAGGCTGTTACTGATCTATTAATTGACCGGAAACTGTCAACGTTCTGGAAGAAATTGAAAAAACTTGTCCAGTCGCAGAATCCAAGTATGAAACTGGTTTTCACAACATGCGGTGATGCATTTTAAATTGTATCCTCTACTTAATATTTTGGGATAATATTCTTAGAGAAATCAATAGAGGTAGAGTGAACGTTGAAATACAAAAACAGTATATTATCATTTCGCATTCTGTGGCGATAACGCAAGGTATTGTTAAGATCTTGCAAGGAATGAAAGAAAAACCAATAGAACATTGGTTCAAAGAAGCTGCACTTTTATTAGAAAAGTTAGAAATCGAGCCAGTCCTTAAAATCAAACAAATCTCCATAAAGACAACGCAACACAATAAAATCTGCGAGGAAGAATCAAGAACGCTATATTCAAAATTTTTTATTTTCCAAAGATATAAAAATAGGGTTTGGCAAAATTTTAACAGATTTTCTTTTCTAGCATTGAGTGGGTGACAAACGAGCACAAAGTTCCACCTGATGGTAAGTGGATGCTGTGACCCATTGACATCCACATTTATCCTCAACTAAGGATCAAAATGCAAATGCATTGTCACCCTTGAGGATTAAGACGGAATGCGAGCGACGGAGTATGAGGATCTCCGGTTCTCTACACTCACCATTCGGAACACAGCAGCATTACGCTGCTATTTTACGCTGGTATTCTGTGAGAG